ATGGGGGGCACGTGATACCCAGATTTGTGTATGGGGCGGATGCGAGCTGCCTGCTGTGGGCTGGGGGGTCCCTACCCTGCTGCCCTTCCTCTGGGGCCTCCATGGTCCAGCAGGCAGGACCTGGCATGGGGGGGGCAGGGCAGGGCAGGGAGGCTTGGTCACTGCCATGAGCCCCATGCTAGCTGCACTACCATGGTGGGATGCCCCTGCCCACGTGAGGCAGCAGGGGGCACAGCTCTGCACCATCACTGCTGCTGCCAGGAGGGCATGGGATACCTTGCCGTGGCGACATGGCCAGAGTGGGCTCCCAGTGATGGCACCAAGCCTCCCTGGCCTCCCGTGATGGGTCCTGCCCATTGGACTGTGGAGGTCCCTGGAGGGGAGGGCAGTGGGTTGGGGAGCCTTGGGCCAACAGCTTGCGGCTTGCATCCTCTCCCATCCCTCACCATGGGCTTTGTTCTGGCCATGCTGCTCATGGTGGCAGAGCGGGAGCCAGGCTTCACGCTCTGCTCCAGCCATAGCAGCTGCTGCCACCTCCTGTGGGCAGTAGCCAGGGCTTGGATGCTGCTGGGGCAGAGGGAGGGGGCTGTGAGCCTTGACCCTGGTCCCATAGTCCTGGCAGCTGGAGACCCCTTCTGGCACGGCTGGGTAGGGCAGGGGCTGCAGGTCACAAGTGAAGGGCATCAGCAGCCCTGGGAGGATGAGGGGCTGTGGGTGGGGACTGAAGGGCACTGGCAGGGCCAGGGGGATATGGGTTGGGAGTGAGGGCACCTGGGAGGGCATGTGTGGACTCTGGGTTGGAAGTGAGGGGTACCAGGGAGGGCTGGGGGATGGGGAGCTGTGGGTCAAGACTTAGGGGCACTGATAGAACTAGGGGGCTGTGGGTAGACAGTGAGGGGCACCAGTAGGGCTGGGACTGGGGTGGGGGTTGTTGCTTGGTAGTGAAAGGAAATGGCATGGGCAGGGCACCGATATATCAGGGCTGCTCAGCATCACAAAGCAGGGGGCAGGACAGCCACAGCTGGACCCACAACCTGATTTTCTATGATAAAAAAACAAAACCAAATGCCAAAATATATAGGTGTATATAATTTATTTTATTATAATGACTGAGGCACTGGTAGGCTTCCAAATTCCTTTAAAATTGTAAATATATTAATAAAACCTTGTATTCAACTAATACGGATATATATAGTGGTGTTTCATTTACATAATGGATAAATGTGGATTTTAGGTTTTTACATCAGAGCACTTGTGATTTTTACCAGTGATTTTGCAATTTTTAAATAAAGAAAATCAGAATCCCTAGAAATGAACAAGCAGCACCTTTTGGCAAAGAGGGAGCATATATTGTTTAAAATATACCTTGGTTCAGATGATTTATATTGCCTTATGTTTGGGAACTGCAAAAAAGGGATAAATGTTTAAATCTCAGAACCAACTGTAAGACCTACTAAGGCACACCAAATCGATGGGAAAGGAAAATTAAAGTAATCTGCATTAAGAAGCCTGTGGTGGGCTTGCTGGGCTTTGCCTGGCTCTCCGGGCTTAGGAGACAGTGAATACAGTTTGTGGGACAAAACCCACCAGAGACAGGCACAGGAGGAGCCAGGAGGAGAGTCCGTTCCCCCTGTACTCCAAAGGCAGGGGCAAGAATGGACTTAACTGGGAACTGCAGTTGCAGTCCCCTTAATTGGTTCATTTTCAATCTGGGGGTGGAGCCCCAGAAAGGATATAAGCAGCTGTGTGCTGAGCACACGGCACAGTTGATGAGGGACAAAGAAGAAGGAAGAGGTCCTGGGGCCAAGAAGAGCTGGGAGAGCTGCCCAGCGGGCATATCCGGCTGCCCAGAAGAGCCTGAAAGATTCCATCACTGGATGGAAGCGGTAGGCGATGCAGGTGTCACTGCACAGAGGGTCTGCAAGGAAGTGAGGCCCTGGGAACCACAATGAGGTGGCTCAGGTCTCCAACCCCGGCACTGTGGTGCAGGTGTTGCTGCACGGAGGGTCCACGCGGGACTGCGACGCTGGGAGCCATAGTGAGGTGGCTTGGGTCTCCAACCCCAGCATGAGGCTGGGTTACAGTGTAGGTGTTGCTGCACGGAAGGTCCATGAGGGAGTGGGGCTCTGGGAGCCACAGCAAGGTGGCTCGGGTCTCCAACCCCGGCACGAGGCTGGGCTGCACAGTAGGCATCACTGCATGGAGGTTCTGCAAGGGACTGGGACCCTGGGAGCCACAGCAAGGTAGCTCAGGTCTCCAACCCTGGCACGAGGCTGGGCACAGGAGCTAATGCTACCATGGGGTGAGTCACTGCGGGGTGTAAGGCCCTGGAGGAGGAGGGGCTGGGTGGTTTGGGACCCATTCCCTGCAGTGGGTCCGTAAGGGTCCTGGGAACGGAGCAGTTCCCGGGCGCAGAGACAAGCATTCAGAGTGACCCAGCCCTGGGCATGCATGAGGTGGCTCAGGCCTGCAACTCCCCCTGAGAAGGACTGAGCCACTGGGAGCTTATGAACACTGCCCCACCCAGCTCCTTGGGACTCATGAGTCAGTGGGGCAACAGGTCTCCCACTGTGGAGTGACACTCTGGGAAAGGTAGCCTCAATAAATAGGCAGGAGGAAGAGACCCTGTAGAGGAGAGGAACCATTAGAGAACTCTTGCATCTCATATTTTGGAGTGCTTATTGATTGTTTGATACTCAGTGTGCATTTTTAGAGTGTTTATTAACTGTTAACTGAACGCCTTGTATTTTAGAGTGTCATTTATTGTTGAACTTACCTGTTCATACCGTTTGGGACCATTATGCTTACCGCTTGTATTTGGGTGTGTATATAGTTATAGTTATATGTATTTATAACCTGTAAATACTCACTTTAGTTTACTACCTTTATATATATATACCTATATTAAATTTTGTACCTGGTAAAGACATTGCTTTCTGTCCCTGCTCTATTAAGACATGATCGGTGGGAGGGAACTGCAAGTGACTGCAGTTTCCAGCCTACCACATGTGCCCTGCTGGCTTTCCCCTTCTATTGGTGAGGGGGGACACTCACTTTGGGGACACCCAGATTACAATCCTTTGTCAGGGATTGAAAGTCTGTGCATTGAAAAGAAGAAAAAATGTTCTATCACTTAATAAGATGAATATTAAGCATCTTAATGGTATACAGCAATCAACTCTGTAAAAGTAAAGAAAAAATTCATTTGAACCAATAGAGAAAATGAGACATGCCGTCTATATGAAGTTTCAGTTTTATTTTGACCTCGGTAATTAAGGTCTCTGTAAGCCTTTAGATATGAGTAATACTTATTATCTAAGTTCTGCTCTTCAGTGCAGCAAAGCTCTTGATCCTTACCAAAGCCGGTCATTTTTACAAAAAGATTAGACTAATGCTTTTTACTAGTGGTCAGACACTTTGCTTCATAGGCCAGATGGGCAGTTCCCAGTCAGTCTGTGGTCCAGATCCCACCAGCGGTTCCAATCTGACTATGTGGAGTATGTAGCAGGCAGCCTAGCCCCAACCCAGCCCTACAGGGGGAAGGAGGCATGGCCAGGCCCTGACCTAGCCCCACAAGGAGAAGGGGGAATGGCCTGGCCCAGACCCAGACCCATGGGCCCACCATTCTCCTGTCACCAAATTTCCTGACCTCAGGAGACCCACAGGCCAGATGCCATGGCACTGTGTGCTGGATTTGGCCCGTGGGCCAGGAGTTGAGCATTCCTGCTTTATACTACTGCCATAGTGGGAAAATGTAAGGTCAGCATCACTATCTACTGTGGAGATGGCAGGGCATTTCATGGTGGTAAACATACTTATTTAAATAATGTAGAATTGATGAAGAATATGTCTATTAATGAGATTTCATATCTACAGTCTCTCAATAACTCACTATCTCTATGTCAAATTTGCAAAACAAGATAGTGAAAATTCAGCTGACAGAAGTTGACACATTTGAGCAAGATCCAGAAGCACTTTAGACTCCTCAAACTTTTGATCATATCCTTTTCCACCTATGAAGTACCTAAGTGAACCTAGGCACCTAAGTTGTCCCTATTCCATGGGACTCATGTATCTTAAAATTGGTTGTTTAATTTTATAATGTGCTATCATCTTAGACTAAGTCATAAAAAGCAGTGAAGGGAAAGAAGAGGAGTTCCAAGATTATTTTTGATCTTTACCTACTGACTGTCTAATTTAAAGTCTAGGTCAGGGAGTAGAGGCCACAAATGCCCCTCTAGATCTTGACCTTTGTTGCATGAAGAGACCAAATAAAACCTGGCTAACCCTTCCATAGCTTTCAGAGGTTAAGATGTTAGCAAAAATAAAACTCAGGTCTTTTAGATAAAGCAAACAGATATGACTTCCGGATACCCAGAAATATTGATGCCATTTTTTTCTGAATTGCTTTAACATGCACAATAATGCTGTTTGGTGAAATCTGTCATAACAGGATCTAGGAGGAGGAAACCAGGGTTGCCAATGGTCTGTAAGTTTACAGCCTAAAATCTCCTGTGCATAAATTCTGAAAAAATAATTTTGCCTCTGTGAAAATAAGACATCCTCATCTTGCTTCAAGATTCATCACCTGAATGAAATTACATTTGAGGCAGTCATCAATGCTGGGCAGAGAGAACAGAGTAGCACCACCATATCTAAGCAGGAGCTTTGATTGGCACAGTCAACTATCTGTCAGAGCTTTCTGGCCCACTGTAGCCTCCATAGTTCCTTGCATCTTGGATGGAGCTGTGGGGCTGGGAGGTGGGGAGAGGTAGTAGGTTGGGGTCCATGCTGGGGTAGGGAGAGTGGGTAGTGGGGGCCTGGCTTGTGGGTTGGCTGGGAAGGATAGCATGGTGTGGAGTGAGGTCAAGGGTGTCAGGGTGTGAGCTAAGTAGGGGACACGTGGTGGGGGCAGCAGGGTATAACACCATCTCTGCAGTTACATAGGGCTACCAAGATTTTTTTTAACTAACAGTAAAAAATGTGTCTGTCAGTGAAAAGTTTTCAGATTAGAAACACATATGCCTGCAAGATGATTTTTTTAAGGGAGCATGCAGTGCTGCTCCTCAGTGTAGGAATAAAATGTGCCTCCATTTAATGATCCCCTTGAGAAAATGGTGTTTAGTCTGTGGTATTAGCTAGACAGGACTCCCTGTGCTTTTCAGTATCATAGAGAGATCTCTGCTGCATGTAGGGCAGGATTGAGCACTTGATCTGAGGGTATTTAGTACCACAGAAATCAACTCTTTCAAATCTAACATCTTATGTTGAATTTTATTGTTACCCATGATTTCATATCTATTCTGTATCACTGCTTAAGTCACTCAGTGCTCTGAAGGTACGATTATACCATGTCCCCAGGGCTGTCCAGGGGCATGCTTTCAAGCATGCCCAGCCCACCTGTTCCCACTTGGATATGCCAAACTTAGATATTCAGCAGTGAAACTTCACTGGAGGCACTACCTACAGCCACTCAAACATGTTGGAGATGCAGATTTCAACAGAAGGTGTGGAGAATGATAAACTTCCACAGTGACTTCACTTCCACATTTCTGGATTTGACATGTGCTAGCAGAAGTGGCAGCCAGGTGTGGTCAAGTGTTTCTCTCCAAGTGTGCCATGAAAGAACCCTCTTAGAAGGTCTGGATTCTTCCCCTTTCCATTTTTTTCTCACAGTTGTGGGCTACTTTGCTGAGTGGGAGCTGCCATGGTAATTTAAGCCTATTGTCAATGCAGCATACAAAGAGAAGGAACATTGAAAGATTGTGCAGTATCCATTGTTGGAAGTTTTTAAGAGAAGATTAGACAGACACTTGGCCAGGATGTTTCAGTCAGGGATGATCCTGCTTTGAGCAGGTTTTTGGAAATAAATGACCTCCTGATGTCCTTTCCAGCCTCGCTCTTCTATGATTCCACGACTATAAATGAGAGCTCTTTAGCAAAGCAGAAATAATACAAACACTGGCTTTTTCTAACTTACGATTGTTACAGCCACATCAAAGCTTCATTTGCCATTGATAAACACCAGTAAAGTATCAAGTTTTGGAAATTCGGTTGAAGTAGTGATGGGCACGTTCCATAGAGTTTATTTCCAAATCCAGACTGGCCCAATGCCCACAGTGTTTGTACCTGGGCATTTTGGCTTGGACTCATCTCAAAATGTGAGTTAAAAAAAAGTAGAAGTAAAAATGGTCAGAGCATGGTTTACAGACAACAGGTGTGATGTATAATCCCTCCAGTAGTTTCCAGGAGACACACTTTACAGTGGCAGGGCCATGGCTTTGGAAAAGGAATGTAGTATGTTCTACAATCCACACCAATCAGCAATGATGACCATTGAATAGGGCAGGGGGGAAGGGAAAGAACACAGCTCTACCTTAATCTCACCCATGCTCTATTAGGGTGACTTGTTTCAACAGTAGTTATTTTTTTATCCACAATCACTGAATTATCCTGTGCAGAAATATAAGAAACGTCCCTCCTGCCCCCTCTACAAAATTGTATGTCTGACCAGTTGGGACATAAATAATAAAGTTCTGTCCTAGAAATACAAGCAAACGTTAGCTGAAATACAGATGCCATAAGAACTACTCTATATTGGTAATTTGTTTTGTCTGTAATTCATCATTCACTATTTTTGAACCAACATTCACAAAAAAGATCAAATAGCAAAGTAAGAGCCAGTGAGGAGGTCTGTAAATTGGATAGAAATATTTTTACATGAACTTGTTCTGTTTTTCCTTCTTCTCTTTGAGGTCTCTGACTTTGGCAGAATATCTGGCCTTGAAGAGCTTATCCTGTCTTGCAGTGGAACAGAATCAATAGAAAATAACACCTTCAAGGCTCTGAGCACCTTGCAAACCCTGGAACTCTGCAAGAACAAGCTAAGACGTATACCCACTTTCCTCCCATCAAGCCTTGAAGTATTAAAACTTGGTGATAATTCAATAAATGCTATACACGGGTCTGATTTGGAAGGTTTAAAGAAACTCAGGGTGCTTGACATTCAAAACAACTTGATTTTGGCACTCTCTTTCAGCACGCTTTCTTCCCTTTGCAGCTTACAAAGTCTGATTTTGGATGGTAACAGTATGGAGTCTGTGTCTGGCCCACTTAAACTTCCCAAGCTGAAGTATCTCAGTATGGCTAATAACCAACTGCACTCTTTCTTAGGCCACTTCTTTGAATCTCTGCAAGATTTACAGTTTCTCAGCTTTAGCGGAAACCATCTGGAAAAGGTCCCACCTGACCTGCCCAAGTCCTTGCTTTCATTAAAACTAGAGAGAAACAGATTCAAAACAGTAAGATTTCGAGACATGAAGCACCTGGAAAACCTATCTGAGCTTTTTCTTTCTGAAAATCGGCTTTCATCAATAGATGGTGCTCACCTTCTTCCTAACTTAATTGCACTGGAACTGTCCAGTAACCATCTCCAAGCCATGCCACTCAGGCTTCCAGCCAGACTCCAGAAACTTGACTGCAGCAATAACCTGATTAGGCAAGTCACAGCACAGGACTTCCAGGGTCTACGAAACCTCAAGCATCTGTTTCTTGATAACAACGCTGTTAGTTTGTTTGAGGCTGGAGCTCTTCAGAGGTGTGCACAGCTTTCTAACCTGGCACTGGAACAAAACCTGCTTATTTCTATTCCACTCAGGCAAGTGCATGTTAAGACAGTTTATACCTGAGGGCCATCACCTCCCTCTTTTCCTGGGGACCAAAGAGTGTAGAAACTGGACTAAAGTTGTGGGGGATAGGAGGGAGATGAGAATAGCAGCCATGCTTCAAGTCTTCTCTCCCTTCCTCATTTCTGAATCTGGTCTCCTTTAGTGTGCAGTAAGCGGGACAGGGAAATATAGCTACTTTTCATAACATCATGACCCTGAAAAGCTGCTGGAATTTCTTTGTGGGAATGAATGCTGATCAGTCACTGGCATCACTCCCCCGGTTGATGAGACTTTTTAGCAAGCTGACAGTGGGAAGAGGATGAGGGTTACATACTATGTAGGAGAAACATGCTGCTTTGGGAGGCGGTGTCCCAAGAACAGCGTGCAGGCACTAGATCTCTCCTCTGATACTCTGGAATTTCCCAGTGATCTTGGGATATCCATCCTGCCTGCTTTACAGATGTGTTCATGTGTGTGATGGGAGAGAAGGCTAGAAGCCTGCTGCTTGAGGACTGAAAGATCTGCAGGAGATTCCACAAATTGGGGCTTTTTGGGGGTCCTGCATACATATGTACTGCATACGGCTATTTTTTTTAAAATTTGCAACAAAATTCAGTCCTCTCAGTATGAATAGATGTAGTTACAGCTGCAGTGTACAGTGATCCAATTAAATGTATGTACACCCCTTTCCACCTTGATGTCTCTACAAAGTCCTGTTACTTTCAGCAGTTGTTCTGTGCCTATGAAAGATGAGCTTTTCATTTATTTAATATATAAAGGGTACTGCCTGGCTCCTGCAGTAATAGCTGTAAGGCTGAGGAGGCTTTTATTGTCTTGAGTCCTGCCCAGCGTTTGTAAGGAAAGAGAATGTTACCATAAGATGGCTATTAGATGGTCTTTGAAATGAGTTTGAGCTCAGTCCCATTCCCAGAAGAGAAATATCCATACCACACACCTAATACCATATCTGGCACTAATCTGTTGGTAGTCTCAGCAAAGAGCTGAGTGCATGCATGTTTGTTTCAGGTTTCTGGCTGCAGCTGCAACTATGCTGTTTCCATAGGACCTAGATAAAAGGAGCAGGCTAGCGGGTACAAAAGAATAATGCAGAAAAGGGACACTGATTTGTTTTGATTTACCCTTTCATATTTCAAGGTTAGTGGGGCATTTAAGGAAGCTGAAAGACAGCAAAGTTACAACTGATAGAAAAGAAGTACATTCTTACTAAGCCATACTTAGCCTATCGTTGCTCCAGTGTAAGATTCCAAAAGCTCAGCATGGTTCAGGGAAGACCTTGATGTTCATATGGATACTAACAATCACTGTTTAATTAAAGTATTAAAGAAAACCTCATAAATTTGACAGGGTTTTAAAACCTAACACTCTGGGTCATAAGCCAGCTTCTAATAGAAGGATATACACAAAACCTGCCCTTGTGCATAGCATGTTGTCTAATTGCCCAGTTTGAGTCTCTTGCATTTTCTTTTCAGCATCTGGTTCTGGCCATTACTAGGTAGGAAACTGGACCAGAGGACTGGAAAAACACTGGTCTTATCCAATATAAGTCCTTTGTTAAATATCTGCACAACAAGATGCTATAAAAATAGCAGTTTATTTATATAACATCCACTTCTTTAATACAACTACAGTGTTACATATTATTTTACATTTAGTGGACTGGCTTAACAGGGCATAGTAAATAATACAATTTTACCTGCTTTACATCTCTGTTAGCATCTGGTGCCTTGAATCTATTTGGAAAGAGCTTTATAATCAGTGATTTAGTGGCATATAAATATTTGATTTCAGTCTAGCTTGACCAGAATGTTTAATGCTTTCTGGTTATGTTAGTATTATCTAATCCATCTTATTTTTATAACCTCTGTAGTAGAGACAATTTAAGGGGAAAAAAGAGCTCTCTATTAACCTTTTAATGATATAAGTTTGAAAGATACATTGGAGATTTTTAATTCTTCAGTGAACATAAATTCCAAGGTAGGACTATAAAACACAAGTGGAGGGATGAGTAAAAGGATACTTTATATAATAGATTTGATTATATGTGTACACTCGGGTCACTCTTTATGCAAATTCATTTTGTGCGAATTTGCTTATATGTGGTGAGGGGAACAGATGAGGGGAAACAGCGAATAGAGGGGCCGCACAGAGGAGATGCTCACCCCACGCTGCCTTGGCGCTGTGCCCGCTGTGCACGACGCTGCTTGCAGCACAGGGCGAACACTTTCTCCACACAGCCCCACTGTTCCCTTCTTCCCTGCCCCAGGTGCCTCCACAGCCTGGTGGGCATGACCCGGTGCAGCAGGGAGCTCATAGACTCTCTGCACAGCCCCTCTGTTCCCAGCTGTGCCGGCTTGTGCCCACTGGGCTGGAGAGGCACCCAGGGAAGGGAAGCAGGGTACAGCCAGGAGTGGCAAGCAGCCGGTGTTCCCTGCTGCCCTGCTTCCCTCCCCCGAGTGCCTCTCCAGTCCACCCCACGCTGCTCTGGTGGCGCACCTCCTGCGCATGCCACTGCTTGCAACACGGAGTTCGCTTCTGCACAGCAGTTCTTGTATAGTGTGATTACTGTTTGAATTTGTCATGGTTTTGGGGAGCAATAGAGTGAGGCTGGTACGTATCCCTGTGCATTACAGGTAATCATGGATTCGCTTTATGCGAGGTGTTTTTTGAAATGCAACCCTTGCATAAAGAGAGACCCAAGTGTATCAATTGGTAATTGAGAATATGCACAAAATTGAAAATATAGCTGTTTGGGTTATCTCAGATGGTGTGCTGCCCTCCTAGAAAGCTGTATATGCAGAAAGTCAATCATGGTCCCAGTTCAGCCAGCTTTCCAGCATGTGTTTAAAGGGACTTAGAAATCACTTCAGTGTTTTTTCTTTCTCCTGCAACAGGCTCTCTAGAACAGCAGGGTTATCTTTATTAAGCTAGGTTTTTGCTTCCTATCTCTCACCTTTCTATAATGGGTGAGGGCACATGCTTTTGATCTGTTTCAGGGCTATATGGTAAAGATGGGAACACTATGAACACCAGATGGACTCTTTGCATATGATGAATTAAAAAAAAGAACAAAGAAAAAGAAAAAATAAAACTCTTCCCAGTTCGATTTGTAGCCATAACATATACACAGGACTGGCCCACAATTTTTGGGGGCCCACTGCAAGGCATAGCTTTGGGGCACACTTACGTGAAGAAGGCATCAGTGGCGGGGATGGCGGGGTGGCGAGCACAGAGGCAGATTAAGGTGCACTGGGGCCCTGTGCAAGCACAAAATTGGAGGCCCCCTTCCTCCATGGGAGCTGGGCTATGGGTGAGGAGGGGCCCCTTCCCCTCTTAGTGCTGGCAGGGGAGGTTGGGTGGACCCTGTTGGGCTGGGAGGCACATGCCCACCACTTCTCCCTGCTCCCTGTTCCCACTATGGTCAAAAGTACACATACACATGGCAGACAAGGTTATTTGGGTAAATCTGATGTCTTTTATTAGATCAACCAGGTAGTTGGAAACATTTTTCTAGCAAGCTTTCAGGTTTAAAAACCCTTGGTCAGGCTCGGGAAGCATCTGCAGTTGGTGTGAGCTCTTCCTGGATGGATCAAATAGTAAAGAAGCCAGAGGCTTGTCTGCATGCAAGTCAGGCAGTGAAAATGTAAATTGAGAGTCCGTGGGTGAGACAACCAGTGGGTGAGTATCAGTGGATTTCGTGGAATAAATCCTTAAATCACTTGTTACCCAAAGAGTGAGTTTTGTCCAAGACACTACAGACTTTCTATGAAAACTTAAAAACATAGACCACCTTCCCAGCAACATCCTCCTAGCCACCACGGATGTTACCAGCTTATATACCAATATCCCACATCAGGACAGCATTCAAGACTTCCTTACATACCTACAAAAGTAAGATGACAACTCTGAGTACAGACCCAAGGATATTACTGAAATTATATGCTTCATCCTCACACGCAACAATTTCACATTTAATAAACAACACTTCCTCCAGATCATGGGTACAGCTATGGGCACCAAAATGGCCCCACAATATGCCAAACTTTTTATGAGCTGCCTGGAAGAAGAATTCCGCAAAGACTGCACCATCAAAAGCTTGCTATACTTAAAATATATTGATGACATCTTCATCATTTGGACTGAAAACCTGCAATCTCTGATTGAGTTCCATCAGAAGAAATTCAGCAATCATCACCCCTCCATCCAACTATCTTTTGAGTACTCCAGCACCAACATCTCCTTTTTAGACAAAACGATCAGCATCCAGAGTGGTAAAATACAGACCATGTTATACAAGAAACCGGCAGACCAACATACATATCTGCACAGAACCAGCAATCACCCTAAACATACCAAGAAACCTGTGATACACAGCCAAGCCCTCAGATCCCACCGAATTTGCACTGAGGAAAACATCCAGGATTGCTACCTCACAAATCTTAAAATGACTTTCACACAACAAGGACACTCCTCCAGAGAGATAGATGCACATTTGAAAGAGCCACCTGGATACCAGGTGAAGAATTGCTGCAGTGCCGAAGGAAAACCCTACAAATCGCGCTGCTGGTTATGACATATCACACCTCCCTCAAACCTATATGGAAAATCCTCAGACAATTGCAACCCATAGTAGAAGGAGACCCAGTTCTTAAAGAGATCTTCCCAGAACCACTCATCCTAGCCTTCAAACAAGCACTGAATCTTGCTAACCTCATCACCAGAAGCAAAATTCCTACAGCCCAGAACACACCAAATGGATCCACAATATGCCAACC